TGGCCAACAATACCACAATAAAAACAAGTAGGTTCAAAGTTAGTTCTATATCTAGAAGAGTAAGATTTCTTCTTAACAAATCTTTTCTTTTTAGGATATTGATGAACTACTTTAGGTTTGTTCACTTTCTCGTTGGATGATTGATCACTAGCTTTAACAAAGATAGTTTTATTAGAACTTGGTTTTGAAAACTTTGAATATCCAAGTCCACTTTTATCATTGGAATATCTTTGTTGGCTAAGAACACCTTCCAATCCAATTTGACCTTTTTCATATCTTTCAATAACTCTTTTTAATTGTACAATCTTGAAAGAGAGTGATTCATAATTTTTGCATACAAAATTCTGTTTTTGCTCACTAAATTTTTGTTTTTCATCTTTGAGATCTTTTTCTATAGACTCACATTTTTCTTCTAAAGATGAAATTTGTTTCTTTTGAGATGAAATAGTTTTGTACAGAATTTTGCCTTCATTTAATGGTTCATCTATAATATCTTGTGTATCACTATCAAAAAGATAAAATTCATTACTAACTTCGTCATCTTCACTATCAGAATGGTGTGAGGCCATCAATGCAAGATTAACACGTTGATTGTTTTCGGAATCGAAAGATGAACTTTCCCATGCTATATATGCTTTCTTTGAATTCTTATCTTTATTTCTCTTGAAAAATTTCTTCTTCTTTTCAAGTGTAGGACATTCACTTTTAACATGTCCCTTTTCTCCACATTCAAAGCATATAACCTTCTTTGTTGGTGCTTCCCTTTTTCATTCTTTTTGTAGAACCTTTTCAATCTTCCTGATGAGATCATCATCTTCACTACTAGTGGATTCATCCTCTGGATTGCTATCATGATTTTTTTTATCCTTGTATTTAAAGCCATGTCTTTTGAATCTTTTACTTGGATTTCATGCTTTTCAAGTCTTACAAGTTCCGTCTCATATTCTTGAAGTTTTCTGAACAAAGTGGCGGAAGTCATTATGGATAGATTCTTCTTCTCGGATATTGCTGTCACTTTTGGGTGCCATTCCCTAGATAAAGATCTAAGCACTTTAAGATTAAGTTCATCATTAGTTAAAGTCTTACCGAGTGCTTTCAAATTATTTGTCAAGTGTATAAATCTTTTCTGCAAGTCGAGGATTGATTCTCGGGGCTGCATTCTGAATAGTTTGTATTATTGACTCAATGTATTTAATCTCGATCTTTTAACTTCAACGGTTCCTTCATGAGTTTCTACCAAAGTATCCCATATTTCTTTTGCTGTTTTTCATGCTGAGACACGGAAGAATTCATCCATGCTAAGTGCACCTTGAATAAGGTTTATTTCCTTTTTATCATAGAGAACCTTCTTCTTATCATCTTTGTCCCATGCAGTTTTAGGCTTTGATGAGCCAGCACCATTGATTATCGTTATAGGGATAAATGGACCATTCTCGATAGCATCCCATATTTTTTCTCCTTGTGCTTATAGATGTGCCTTCATGCATATTTTCCAGAAGTCAAAATATTCACCACAAAATAGAGGAGGCTTGTTGCTACTACCATTATCTCTGAAAACAGGATTTTGATTTGCGGAAGCCATTCTGGATCTTTTAGGAACAGGTTACCTATAACCTGCTCTGATGCCAATTGTAAGTACGAAGTGCGCCTAAGAGGGGGGGGGGGGGTGAATTAGGTACTTTAAAAATTCTGGTTTTAGTGATGATGGATATTATTTTTCTGGATTATGGTGAGTTTATGAAAGAGTAAAGTGCAGAAAAATAAAGAGACACAAGCGATATATCCTGGTTCCCCTCACAGTCCGAGAGTACTCCAGTCCCCTTTCAACATGAAAGAGATTTCCTTATTGTGGCAAACTTAAACAAGAACTACCCAAAACCAAGAACAATCCTCTTGGACCAAGAACAATCCTCTTGGATTTTCACTATGTCAACAATGAGAACAATCTTCTCAAAGTGGCCTTACTTGTATCCAACAATCCTAGAAAAACAAGATTTTAAAATCACTTGAACTTATTTTCAACAATCCTGAAAAATAAGCAAGTATATAGCAATATTTGATTTGAGTGAGTTTGTAGTGTAATAATCACTATGAGTGATTTTATCAATGAATTGATCTTCTCTTCCAATGACAACAGTATACAATGACTCAAGATATATAATGCTCAAAGTTTTCTGTTTGACAATATGTGAAAGTGTGCAAAAAACTTTGTGTATGAAAGTGAAGAAAAGCTTGAGTTTGTTTTTTGAAAATTCAGAAAATATAATTGGAAGCGGTGTTGAAATGATTTTGAAAATGAGTATTTATATGTTCATAGCACCTTTTTGAAACATCATAAAGTTCTGTAAATGAATCATGAACAATTTCCAAGATTGAGTGAAAGGTTTCCATGAAATGGTGTTATGAACATGCATGTGCAAAGCTGCTATTTTTCAAAATCGTGAAGCATGCAATCGATTGCACCCTTTGTGTAAATCGATTGCACGGGGTTTCAATAGCTATAATTTCAAATATTTTGAATGTGAAATCGATTGCACAAGAGTGTAAATCGATTGCATGTGAAGTCAGTAGCAAAAATTGATTGAGTGCAATCGATTGCATAAATATTCAAATCGATTGCACTGAGAAACAATAACAAATGTTTTGAAAGATTGAAGCATGCAATCGATTGCACTAATATGAAAATCAATTGCACTCAAGTAAAAAATGATTTTTAGCTTAGAAAAACTTGAGTAAAAGTTTAGACAATATAAAATATTTCTTTTTACCATTGAGCATCTATGTCTTAAGTTCAAAGTAAGTATTACATTATACCTTAAAATTTTCTAAGTGCTTGAATTGAAGACTTTATCCATAGATGCTTTTAGCTTGATTAATAATATTTGCCTTCTTTGTCACTCATGGTTTGTCTTCATCAAAACAAAAGTGCATTTGAGAAGCTTGATTTTACAAATTCATTTGTTATTTTGTTGCTTTATATGGATGATATTCTCATAGTAAGCAAAAATGTCGAGGATGTAATAAAAGTGAAGGATGAACTCAATAAGGAGTTCGACATGAAGGATCTGGGAGATGCATCCAGGATTCTTAGGATTGACATTAAATGAGATAGAAAGCAGTCAAAAATATGCTTATCTCAAGAGACATACCTACAGAATATTCTTGACAAGTTTGGCATGACGAATTCAAAGCATGTTGTGACTTTGATAAACCTTTAATTCAAGTTGAGTATAGAACATTGTTCCAATACTGAGGTTGAAAGAGCTTATATGAATAACATCTCATATGTTAACATAGTAGGATCTTTGATGTATGTTATGGTATGCACTAGACCCGACATAACATATGCATAAAGTCTTGTAAGCAGGTACATGGCGAATCCTAGAAAGGCTCACTGGAAAAAATTGAAGTGGATTCTAAGGTACATAAATGGGTCTCTGAACAGAGTCTTAGTTTATGGCGGAGCTTGTGGTGAAAATAGTAAAGCAGTAATTGAAGGATATGTTGACTCTGATTATGCAGGTTGTATGCATTCTAGAAAATCTATTTCTGGATATGTGCTCACTATGTTTAGCACATCAATCAGTTGGAAAGCAACACTTTAGAAGGTTGTTTCTTTATCAACCATTGAAGCATAATATATTGCCCTCACTGAAGCTGTGAAAGAAGCATTATGGCTTGAAGGTTTTGCTAAGGAGCTGAAACTTCAAGGTCGAGTTATCATTTTTAAATGTGATGTTCAAAGTAGAATACACTTGTCAAAGAATTCAACCTATCATAAGCAAACTAAGCACATCAATGTGAGAGTATATTTCATCAGAGGTGAAATCGAGCATGGAGAAGTCCAAGTGTTGAAGGTTTCGACTGATCATAATGTTGTTGATATGATCACCAAGACATTGCCAAGTTGCAAGTTTTTCTACTATATGCAGTTGATAAAGTTGCATGAATAAAGCTAGTTTGATCCCTTGATGTTATACAGTTTGTTCCAAGGTGGAGATTTGTTAGATATTGGATAAAACTCTAGTATGGTCGAAGGGTGGCTTCTTGCTTCGACAATTCGACGTGATCTTAGCATGTCGTTGAAGTCTATTAACATGTTGTAGTCGAAGCCCTGTAATGTTGTAGTCTAAGTATACTCAAGTATGCAGTAGTCGAAATACTAGGATTGTTAGCATATCGAATTAGGCCTATTTGTTAAGCTCAATTGTTTAAGTTATATTGTTCTCTAAGTTAGCTTATGTAATTGGCATGTGTGTAAAATCTCATTAATTTAGTGTGTTAGTTTTCTTATAAATAGCATACTAGTCTCTCATCATTGCATAATGCAAATGCTAACTAGGGTGAGAGAGGTTATTTGTTATTCTATAACACCTGTAATCTTGTTTCAAAGAGAAAGTAGAGAATATTAGTTTATAACCAATTTTATTGTCTCTGTTTGCATCTTCAAGATTTCTAGGTATTCAAGAATCCCTTTATACTATGTTCTTGATATCATTTTCATAACAACGTATAATTAGGAGTTTTTTGTATTATTAACTAGTGTTTTAGGTAGATTTCTTTGTTAACATGAAATCAGTAAGTAAACTCAATGAGTAAAATTTCAACAGTACACCATTAAATGTGTTGTTTAATTTTAAATTTTTTATGACTATTAAGTCTCTATTTCACTTATATAAAAGAAAATTCAAACATGTTAAGAGAGTAATATATTCTTGATTAATAGAGATAAAAATCGTTATTACACTCTTGACATGTATCAAATTAAATCATTAAATTGTTTTACTAATTAAAAACAAACATAATAGGGTTGTGAAAATTAAATTATCATTATAGATCAATTGTGGCCACATACAGAAACATTAATTTTTATTTTCTTTCCCGTAATTCTGACAATTATTATTATACAACATATATTATAGAACCATATTTATTAAAGCACGGAGAGTCATTGTCGATCCATCAAACAATTGAAGTTGCAACATAAGATTTAAAAAAAATTATGGTTGAAACATTTGAGCTTGATGAGGATTTGGCTGATGATGGAGATAGATGTTAGAAGATGAAGTATTGCCAACAAAAGCCGGAAGAGTTTGAGTATGATCACCTTGAATTAAAACCTTGTCAGCATGTTCAACAACAAGAATCTTAAGCTGCTCCAAAGCTTTCTTTAATAATTCAAGTTGAGTCATATTCATACCATCAAATGGACAAGCCCACCAAAACTGAGCCTCGACCTCTTTGTGGATACGACATAGCTCATCACCCAGCTTCTTCTCGTCATCCAATTTGTTGTTGATTTGAGTTAGTTGAGCATTAAGATCGCTCACGTTGGCACTGCGGTGAGCCTGAATAAATTGCATTGTGTAATTGTTTTGGGGTGGGATCTCATAAAGATATCGATCTATGACCGTATAAATATTTGGATGACCAAAAGAAAATACTTTTCCACTTGGTGAAAATACAACAAGAGCAACATCTGCACCACAAAGGATGGAAAGCTCACTACCTTTCTTGAAGAGTCCACTACGACGCTTTGAAAAAGTCACTTGGAGGTGACTCTCGTTACTCATCTTTTTCATCTCCGTCTTTTGGCGACCTCGACCTTTCCTTCCCGTTGACATAGCTGAAGCACAAAATGAAATACGAGAAAAAGAAAAAGAATAGATAAATGAATTTTTTATTTTAAAATAAAAAATGACACATGAAATTTGAGATTGACGAGGATATTTTATAGCGAAATTTTATGTATATATTTTCTCTCGTATTAAAATTTGGTTTAAAATTTTAAGCCGCGAAATATATTTTTCAAACGTCTTACCTTTTGATATTGAAAATTTACTAAATTAAGATATTTTTGCCAAATCTCTTTTAATAGGCTTATATGGCAAAAAAAGAATTTTTGGAAAAATGGTGCTCTTTTACCAATTTGTTTATATCTTAGCTTATTCAAAAATTTATTCGATAAGTTTTAACGGAATACTCTTAGAAATTTGCAATAATTTTTTTTCATCATGTTATTATTTTTATTAAAAAATCAATAAACTTCAAAACAATGAGTAGGTGGATTTCTTTTTGTTGTTATTTTAGATTAAAAATCATATAACGTATAGAACTGGATATGAAGGTGTTATTTTATAAACAATTTTTGTGTGTATTATTCTCACTCTCGTGTTGTGATTTGGTTATAAAATCAACTCACATCTATTTTTTTTCCCAAACATTCCACCTTTTTGTTACATTGAAAATTTATGAGATTTTTTTTAAAAGAAAAAACTTCAATTAATGGAAAATAGTTTTAAAGGCTTGAGGTACATTATTGTTGGGCTTTTTCATCAAAATGGTGTTACCATTCGTTACGGTTATTAATGGTTATTTGAAAAGGATTTTTTATTGCACTTTAGATAAAAGAAAAACATCTTATAAAAAATTGAAAATGTTTATATGAAAAAAAAAATCAATTTTATATGGAAAAAAATCAATTTTAAAAAAAATGGAAAATTTATGAGATTAAGAGATTTCTATCAAACCTCTTTTTACATGTTTATATGGAAAATAAATTCAATTTTAAAAAAAATCATCTTTTGCCAATTTGTATACATATTAGCTTATTCAGCAATTTGTTGGATATGTTTTAATTGAATATTTTAAAAAACTTTCCAATAGCGTGTTCATAATATTATTTTATTTATTTTAAAAAGTCATAGATTTCAAAACATTCTTTTGAATTTGATTTTCGCACATGGATGGAATGTTAAGTTGATATGACAAATATTAATTGTTAACAAACCTTTAAAATAATTATTAATTAAAATTATAAAATAAAATAAAAAAGTTTTGGGTCAATCGTTAGGATAAAATAAAAGTTATTATGATTTTTTTTTTTAATGAATGCTTTTAAAATTAAACTAGTGGCGAAAGGTAATATAGAGATCTCGATTCTTGTTTCTTTCTTTTATAATTTTATTTTTTTACCAATATCTCACAAGTGGTTGAAGAACAGAAGAACAAAAAAGTAATTCAAAAAGATTTTAATTTGGTTATAAATGAAAGCATGTAGAAAAATAAAAATCAATGTTAAATGCCATGATTTTTTTGTATTTAACTTGCGTTAAAAAATTTACGACTTAATATTTTATTTTTCAAAATATGTGATACATATTCTTTATTATATTTCTTATCAAATTTCCAAATTCCTTATATGTATAGATGCTTGCATTTTCAAAAAGCAATAGATAATCTATAATGTTAAAAATACATTTTCTATCACATTCTCTTTACTAATATTTTTATAACTAATAAGTTTGACTATGATGGAATTTTATTTATTGCAATAGATAATCTATAATGTTAAAAATACTTTTTTTATCACATTCTCTTTACTAATATTTTTGTAACTAATAAATTTGATTATGATGAAATTTTAATTATTATTATTATTATTATTATTATTATTATTATTATTATTATTATTATTATTATTATTATTATTATTATTATTATTGTTATCGTTATTGTTAGAAAGTGTTGCAGAATGAGTTGTGTGTGGAGTCCAGCAAGTGGACTCCCCCTGGTCAACTGCTCCGCGAGAATAGGGTTGGATCCGTGATTTCCGGAGGGCAATTTAAGATGACTGTCGTGAGATCGTGGGCCACGTCCTCCAACGGACGTGCGGGGAGTTGTCCAACAGTCCCTAACTTGGACTGACTGTTTTTGGGCTTCCTATTCGAAGAGCAAGTGTAGGCCCAATTCAGATCAGGAGCCCGCCAAGTTATCGCCCTTGAGCGAAAGGGCAATGACTTGAGTTCAGCTCTCAGGGCCGTAGACTTAACCGAGGAGGACGGTCAAAGTCCTCTGAACGGAGCGAGTTGTTGCCCGTTGGGGATAACATGTTCTAGTGTGTCGGGGACCAGACGGGCAAACGAGCAGTGCGTCCGGTGGGGTTAGTCACTTGCTCGAGAGGACTGTATTACTTACTGGGAACCTCCATGAGATCTCTTTCGTCGTGCCTGTCTTCAAAGGTGTTGTTGAGGCGTCGAGCATTATTTTATTTCAAGGTAACTAACTGAATGTGCCCTCACGGGCACTATACCGTCGAGCATTCCCTCGCGGAGGGTATCTGCTTCGCGCCTGTATAGGAATTGTGCCTTGGAGTCGGGGATATGCTCGTTGATATAGGAGGGACACGTGGTTGACTGTTGAGTCACGTGGATAGTGCCTTGGGGTGCTACTCCTCAAAGGGGAAACCCAAAAGGCCCGTGAGGGACCTCGTGGGGCATGGGTTACCTATAAAAAGGGGGGCCCTGGCTCTCATTTGTCATCTTCTCAAGTTTCCTTTCAACTTTTCTTGCCCGTTGTGTGAAGCAATCCTCTAAACTTCCCAGATTTTCTTGCTCGTTGTGTGAAGCAATCCTCTCAACTTCCCAGATTTTCTCTTTGAGTTCTTTATCCAAGTAAGTTACAACCTCTTAACACCACGTTTCTTCAGCGCTTCTAGATTAAATGTCTAAGATATGCCTTGATTGGATGAACATTTATGAGTTCTATGATGAACACTCATGAATGTTCATTGAAGTTCATGAGTTCTGCGTCGAACACTCATGAATGTTCATTGACATTCACTAGTTATAGCGTCGGGGGGATCTCCCCGAATAGTGGCCGTAACACATGGGACGTTTTCCCCAGATAACATGGATTATCTCGGGCTTCTTGCTCGATGAGTGATCATCCCCCCCGACAACGTGATCTCCCAATGAAATAGTCCGCTTTAGCGTGTAGTCGAGGGCTTGGGTCGAGCTCGTCGCCCTTTCACTTGATCTGTGGTGGAAGGGTGGATTTGATAATGTTGAATTCACTGTTTCCCCCTACTTTTCAGGTATAATGGCACACTCAGTCGGGGACGACATTCTGGCCACCAATTATGAAGACGAGCCACACAATGATGAGGACCCTTTGGCTTGGGTTTCTCCCGAGCCCCGAAATAAATGGTTGTGCTTTTCTCAAGACGCAACGGACGCGTTCAATTTCCCGGAGGCACGAGCGGAAGGGGGCCCCGCCAACTGGATGCTCCAAATTCCCCACCACAACCGAAGAATATGCTCGACGTACCCGGGAAAACGGTTCCCTATGTATGAATTTGCATTTAAATAGGCGGGGATGCGCTTGCCCTTCAATGATTTTCAAGTCGGGGTTTTCCAGTGGCTTCAATTAGCGCCCTCTCAACTCCACCCGAACGCGTTGGCGTTTATGCGAGCGTTCGAGCTCGTATGCCAGTATCTGAGGATAGGTGCCACGCTGCCCCTCTTTTTCCATATCTTCCACCTCCAAAGATAATCCGTTGGAGGGGGGCAGGCATGGGCGTCGTTCAAGCAATTCGGGAAGCTCTTTAGGCCTTACCTGGAGTCTGTCCGGAATTTCAAAGAGAGGTACTTCGTTGTGAAGCCCCTGACGGATGCAACCATAGATTCCCTGTATACTCGTGTGGAATAGGTGGAGGATGGGCGGCCAGTTACTCAGCTTGTGGCCATATTTCCACTCGAGTGGCAGTGGAAGCACTTCGAACAAAGGCCCGAATATTACGCTGTGAAACCCGAGGACCTAGATGCTCAAGACCGACTTTCGTATGAGAAGCTGTCGGCCCATGTCAAGAGTTTCTCCCCCACGAAGTGCATGGATGTGAACAACAACCTCTTATTCGATGACAAGAGGGAGTATCTTTTAGTAAATAGGTTGGTCAACACAAAGGCCTTGCTCGAATGCTCCTCAAACGGGGAGGCCATGAGGCTTTTAGGTAGGGGACGTAGCCTAATTAATTTTGCTCCTCTTTACGCGGGAACATGCTGGCGCTATTTTTCATTTTCTAACCCGACTAACGGTTCCTTTTGATTGCGGTTCGAATGGCTTCCCTTTCTGAGTGTCTGTTAAAGTTGAGGCCCAAAAACGCGTCCACCTCTGGGCCAAAAAACAGAGTCACTCAGCTTTAGGAACATGCCAAATCTGCGAGTCGGGTGTCATACTCCAAATTTGTCCTACCTCAACAATCCTTTTTATTTATTTATTTAATTAAAGATGTTACAACAATATCTGATGGACTATCTTTATTCAAGATCAGGGGGTGTATTTTAAATCAAGAAGATTTAGTTGTTATTTAAAGGAGGGGTAAAAATTAAATCCGAGAGTATGCAAAAGAAAGGGGAAGAATTAACGCTAAGCCCAATTGAAATTAAAGGAGAAGTTCTGACTGCAAACGAAGAAGTGCTAGGCCGTATGGATCAAGCGCTGACCCAACAGAACTTCTGAAACAAATCCCTGAAGTTCTTCTTTACAGAAACAAACTCAAAAGTTGTGTAGATCAGATCCAGAATCACGCACAAGCTAGTACTGGTAGAGAACTGGAATATCAGATCTTCTAGCAGAGTCAAGCAAGGGCAGAATTAGATTATCTTCCATAGTCCAAGCTCAGAGTTTCAGAGGCTAAGCAACCCAAGCCCAAATCTGTTGGACGTGCACTATATCAATTTCAATCAAATCTTCCATAGAGAATCAATTCCAATCGAATCTTTTTAATTTTATCCTCAATATTTGCTCTAGCCATAGTCCAAGCCCAAAAATTAAACATTATAAA